TATATATATATATATATATATATATATATATATATATAAAGTAGTCCCTCATTACTTCGCTGTTGACTCGCTCTATCGCGGTTTTTCAAAATAAGAGTGGACATGACACACAATTGGTTGATTGATTAATGAGCCACACAATCAGAATGGAATTTTTATTTAAAAAAAAAAATATTTTAAATTATTTGCCACTTCCAGCAACTTTGTGCAGCCCATACATACTGCAGGATAAACTTCCTGCTGCAGCTGATCAGCTGTTCACTGTGCAGAATGGAGAAGTGGGCGTGGCCAACAGCGCTTGCAGGTGGCAAAGAGCGGAGGAGGCAGGGAGCTGAAATCATGACATGCTGTAATCTTATAGAGTGTTTAGAGTTTAGAAACATTGTTTAGAATATTGCAAGAGCGTGGGAAGGGTTTAAAATGCCTTAATACATAAATACTAAAATAAACTACTACTTACTACTTGTATTACTATTCCTACTTTGCATTTTTTTCACTTATCGCAGGTCTTCAGGGTACGGATCCCTACTGTAATTCATTGGTCCTTCACTTTTCCACTTTCGTGGACTCGATCTTTCGCGGTTTTTCAACGATTATCAACTTGAATATTACTCACGTGATTGGGAAATTATGGGATAAAAAGCTAACAAAAAAAATGCTTCAGGCAGGCACCGCCATTTTGTAGTTTTCTTTCAAGAAGCTTACACTGTAATGCCAGTCAAAAGAACTACACTACCCAGAAGCCAACAGTGCTTCCGGCCGCAGCTTTCTGCTGAAATGGAGAGAACATTTTGCAAATCTACGCTATTTATTAAGCTCACAGAACTGGCAGAAAAGTTGCAAATAATCATTAAGATTCCTGAAGCTCAATTATCTGCGTGCACATCAACCTGGACGGGGCGGTGGGTTTCGTGGCTGCAGGTAGGTCTACATAGCTGCTGTTCCGCAGAGCTGGTGAGTAAAATTTTGCAGTACTGTACAGAACATATACATGTGTTGTTAAAATTATGTAGGTTTGAGTTTACAACATTGAAAGAGTGTGGGAAGGGTTTATAAAGCCTTAAAATATGTATAAATACTAAAATAAATATAGCGTTCCTACTTTGCAATTTTTCACCTACTTTGGGGGTGTGTGGCGTGTAACCCTCACGATAATTGAGGGACTACTGTTTATTATATATATATATATATATATATATAAAATGTCATCACAATGTCAGCACTGCATGTTTCCATACAATGGCGAAATTAGTCTCTGCATTTAACCCATCCACCACCAGGTGGTGCAGTGGGCAGCTATTGAAGGCGCCCCGGGGGGCATTTTGGGGATGAGGTGTGCTGCCCAGAGACGCCACGTGATGTGCAGTGACTGGGGATTGAACCTGGGACTTTCGGGTCCCAAGCCGGCTGCCCTGCCTCTACACCATCTCGGCCCCCATATATATATATATATATATATATATATATATATATATATATATATATATATATATATGTATATGTATATATAGTGGAGAGTGAAAAAGTGAGAAGGTATCAGACTGACTGAGTCCAGACTAACCACCTAAAAATCTAAGTGTTAGTGTTTATTGTAAAAAGACAGAGGAAGGAAAAGTGAGAGCCAACAGAAAAATGACAAACTGCTTGAACAATGAACATATGTTTAGGCTTTAGTGGCATGAAAATTAATTAGCCTGCCCCAGCTCTAAATGCTGTCATTTGAGCTTAATTAGTAAAAAGATGACAGGTGACATTAATTATCCTAACCTCATTGTCATCGCAGGCACTCAGATATTAATTTAAGAGTTACTGGTACCTAATTGTATGTCTTGTTTAATAAATGCATCTACAAATAGTCTCTCTCAATATTCTCTACAGAGAGCAACAAAGTACAGAGGCCAATAGAGTGTGTTACTTATTAAAGGGCAATTAAAAAGCAAGTCAAACAAATCTGGACATATAATCTTTAAAAAAAAAAATGTTTTTTTGCAAATATTCTTAATTGAATGGCTTCTTTTTTTAATTTGTTTGCTTTTGACATTTAGGAATATATTCTAAAACAGGTCAGCATTTGCAGCGAAACTTTCAGTAATTATTGATCACATTAAAATGTATTTTGTTTATTAAATATAAAGATTGAAAGACTTGATGCGTTTAGAAAAAAAAAAAGATTTATAAGAACTATGCGTCACGACAACAGCAGGGAAAAATTAATTAATTAGTCTGTCAACATTAAACAGCCAAATCAATACTTGTAAGCCCTGGTGGTCGACCAAAAAAACTGCAAGAGATATATACTGGATTTTCATTTTAACTTTGTGATTAATAATCCCACCTTAAGTATCTATTGTCTGTCTGTAACAAATGTGCTTCAACCATTGATTTGTCTTGGTCCCAATCTAATAATTGCTAAAAGTGAATAAAAAAAATCACAAACTATTAGTGATATTACTAATTACAGAATGACCAATCTGGCTAAGTGTTCACTGAAAATGCTCTCGGAATGAGTATGATAAATTAGTAGCAATGCAAGCTTTGCATTTTGTCTGAGAGTTTATGTGCATTTTTACCTAAATGAATGTGACAAATTGAAGGTAAGTTATCTTGAAATATCCCCATGGGAATATGATTTATCAAAGGAAATAAATGTGGTTTAATGCGATGTCAGAAAGCCAGACGGCTCACATGAGAAGTGACAACAAATTTAAAATAAAACAATATTTTGTGTTTAATAAACGTAGAATGCAAAGTTAAAGGAAAACTGCATGCAATATATGTGTCATAAGAAGTTTTCAGAAGTGGTGAGTCACACTTTGCCTTTAGAATACAATGTTGTTTTGGTTTCCTTTATGATGGTAACACTGTGACATTAAAAGATATATGTTAAAGTTAAGACATTTAAAAGAAGGCTTTCCCCATTTTTTTCAGCCATCATAGTCTTAACAAATGTTCACCTTCCATCTTGGAGACAATTAGGTTAAGCTAAAACAAATGTTACATTTCCACATTGTTTCAACACTGTCCACCATAACTACTTATTTTTACCTTTTAAAGTTGTAAAACTAAACACACTTTAACAACAATGGTGGCACAAAAAAGAGGATGTTTAAGTTGATATTTAGTCATAATTTGTTGCATAGATCAAAAGTTGACCAAAATAACTGGCAGCTGTAGTTACCAACTTAAACAACCAGTTGGCATTATTTTATTCAAATTAGAGCGTTAAGATTTCACGCTACAACTTCACGTTCATTCGTTAATTTAGATTTGTGTAAAAATTAAAAAAAATTAAAAAGTAGAGTTGATTTAGAAGGTTAAGCTCTTTTAGAAAGCTTATCAAGAACAAGGATTACAAAGTGATTAAAGGGAATTTTAAGGGCCTCAATGCAAACCAAAGGCTGCACTGTCTGGCAACAGTTATGTTACTTTAACTCCTTCATTAATTTGGTATTAAATTCTTTATCAAACATGCAGACTATCACACAAGCCACAACATGCATGCACAGTGATCCCTCACTATATTGCAGTTCACTTTTTGCACTATATTGCGGGTTATTGTGTGTACTGTACATGCTGTGCACTACTGTACATTCATCACATCGTCATCATCTTCACTGCGATCGACAAAGTATTTAAGACTATATGAAGTGTTTATAAGGGGGCCAAGATGGTGTAGAGGCAGGGCAGTCGACTCGGGACACGAAAGTCCCAGGTTCGAACCCCAGTCATTGCGCATCTCGTGGTGTCTCTGAGCAGCACACCTTATCCCCAGCTTTCAATAGCTGCCCAGTGCACCAACTGGTGGATGGGTTAAATGCAGAGAGCCAGTTTCACCATTGTATGAAAACATACAGTGATCACAATACATAACACATTATTATTATCATTATTATTATTATTATTATTATTATTGTTATTATAAGAAAGTGGGAAAGGTCAATAAGCGTGTGGGAAGGGTTTCAAAAGCCTTATATATATATATATATATATGTATATATATATATATATCTGTAAGCTTAGATATATATATATATAGTGTTTCCCCTACCATTATACAAGTAGTGCGCCCCGCCTACCGAACCGAACAGTGTGTCAAACCAGAAACCCCCATCGGCACATACGTAGCGCTAAGCTAGCTGTGTGTCATACAGGTGCACTAGGTAAAAAGCTTGAGGCAGCGCTCGCACTGCCTCTTCCCTCACGCTGAACACCCCCTCCCCTACTCCAAAACGGTCGGTACAAACAGCGCGCAGCTCAGACATGGCATATCTAGGTGAAACACTGATTATAAATAACAAAATAAATATAACACCGCTACTTGGCGAATTTTCACCTTCCGTGGGGGTCTCTGGAATGTAACCCCGCGAAAGGTGAGGGATCACGGTAAATGTAAACAGATAGGAATATGAAGCGCTACATACAAGCAAAGTCTATATACAAATGCAGAATTACATGTGTTTGTATGTAAGTGATCATGTGAGTTGTAAGTGTGACAGAACAGAGTAAAAGGTTTAAAAGTTTTGGACCTATAAGGAATTTTTTCACCTGGAACACAAAAGGAAAGAGCTAAGCCTTACAGCTAAATATTTTAAAGCTGAAATTAAATTTAAAAGGAGGGCGAGTAGGGGAAGAAACAGACAGGGAAAAAGACAGAGAATTACTGCGAGAGGAGTACTTTCTTCCCTTCAATGCTTTCACCAAAAGGCCAAGTGACAATTTGAACAATTACCCTGGAGCTATTACCTCTACTGGAACGTGGCTGGTTGAGAAGAGACAGATGAGTGAGTGACTGAGAGTGTGCACGTGAGTGCGTGTGTGTGTATCAAAGTGAGACAGATAGTGAAGGGAAAATGGAAACAACAGTGAGAGCAACTGAAGAAAAGCAAAAAACATGCAAAAGGAAAAGAAAAATGAGTTTATTTACAGTAGATGCTTTGCACAGAGTCATTTACTACTCCAACACTTATGGGGTAGTTATTGCAGCACAGCAGGTGTGAGACAGAAAAGCACAGACAGAGGGAACATTGATGCTCTAAAGGCCATCAAGCAGAGACAAAGACACCAGAAGAAAATTAAAGTAAGGCAATTTTCTTTTTCTTTTACTTGTTTTGCAATGATCGGACCAAACCATTTTTTTGAAAGACGACATGTTAGTTCGACGTGGTGCATCTATAACCACAAGGACAAAGTTGAAGGCAACACAGAAACATGGTTGCAACAAAATGGTAGGTCCGGTTCAAAAAGTGTAAAGATCTCAGTTAATAAAACCTCAGAACTAGAAAATGTACTTAAATGTGAATGGTAACGGTTGTAACTAAAAGTTAGCTCCCCTGTTGATCTTGATGTTTTCTAAGTTTATTCTTCATCAAACTGCAGCCTGCTAATCAGTGGGTACGTTTTAATTGTATATTCTTCAAAAAAGTGTTTAAATTACTATGCAAAATTTTGGATCTTCATGTATAACCTAAATTAATGTCTGAATACAGAATGTTTCAACTTTTCTTTATTCCTTTATGCCATATCTCTGTAGTTGTAATCTGACTTGTTTTAAATGCCATAGAAAAGCTACAGATATGGTGAATGGTTTGGCCTTTTAGTTGCATGCATTTTTCTGACCCTGAGATGCTAAATGCTAAATAATAAATGTGCCTAATAAATATGCAAATATTTATATAGGGGCTAGATTACAGCATAAATATGGATGACTTAAAATATTTAAACCAAATGCCTTTTTTTCCTTCAGTTTTACCAGCTTGGTGTGGAAAAATAATGAGAATAGAAATATTAGGGTCAGAATACTCTCTGTCTAACCTAATATCTGGATGCAGTGTTGTTTCACCAACACCTTGTGTTGCCCTCAGCAACAAGAAGAAAAAACACTGACCACCTCTGAGAACCAATCAAAGTCCCCAAACGATGGGAACCTTGCAAACAGATCATTGTAATGGGAATAACAGACAGATTAAAAAAGGATGTTTGTCCAGTGAGGAGTCTCCAGGGTGGAGGGATAATCGCTCAACTATCCAATCAGACACCAAGGTAATTTAAACTTGAGGGACTTTCTTCATGTAGTGATGTATGGGGAACATGAAACTGTAACACAACCACAAACAATCAAAACTGTACGAATAACCAAGTGGCGTTATATAAAAAAGCATTTCTATATTTATTTGTTCTGTTATAACTGTAATGTGAAATACGCAGAAATACATATAATAATTACTAGCATGTTCTGAATATCTGTTGAGAAAGTTGGGGTATTTCAAATATTTCAAAACTGTAAAAATAAATTGTATTAGGGTATTTTTACAATGAATAGGCTGAGATAAAATAAAACAAATGAAACAAGAACATAAACTTTAAAGATGGAGAAGCTTACTTTACGTTTAAACTGAGCAAATCCCTAATGTTTGTATCAGTCATGGTACTCAATGCTGGGAACCCAAGTATAATGTATCTGTTTCAAAGAGGGGTGATGTTGTTTTAGGGGTGGAAATGTTCGTGCCATTTACTCCAGTAAATCTAGAACTGGTGCTGTATAAATAAATGAAGTGAAAAGGATTTAAACCTTGTTTTTGTTCTGCTCCCTTCTGGAACATGAACAGACATTGCAGTCACACCGGGAATAACAGCTTTTTCTTCACTAGAATTGAAAAGGCAACAGATGTGAAACTGAGATCAGCAGTAGAAACGAGGAAGAGGAGGAAAAAGCAGACGAGACAAAGCAAAAGTAGTGTTCTTTGAGAAAAAGCAAAAAGAACAGGGTTGGAGGAAAACACCATCAACCAGCTTACTTAACAGTGCAAAAAATACTTATATATATATATATATATATATATATATATATATATATATATATATCTCCAGGGCTTAATTTGTAAACCGATCGATGCCGGAATGCAAATAGTGGGCGAACCAGCTTGGGGGTTTGGGTCCTGGGAACGCACATGCTCACAAGAGACAAGACAAGATGTTTAATGACATAAAATATATTTTGTTCGCAAAGAAAAAGAGTCCTAACATTTATTAAACGTTACTTCTGTATTTACCCAAATCTAAATTGAGCTTTGACAAACTCATTGATAAAACTAAATTATTTTGTCAATGTGAAAGAGAAAAATAGGGGGCAGGTATCACTCTCTTTGATTTATACTCTTTGACACATGCATGTTGTGGGTGACAAGCATCCAGAGCGTCATAAAAACAGCAGCGGAGGTGTCGGAGTTATTTATTTATCGTCTCAGCAGCAGAGGGGAGCGACACGGTTCAAGCATGGCTCCCCAAACAAGAAGGAAGTCACATTTGTTCATAACTTTATTATTAATAAATCCGAGAGTTGCCGGAACTGAGCAAACAGTTGCCGGAACGCACCCTGTGAAACTAAGAGTTCCTGGATTTTGTTCCGGAAAGATCTGTTTCAAATTAAGCACTGTATTTATCTTTGCCCACTATTAACTAGTCGAGATTTTAAAGCTACCTCAGCCTGAATTATAATATCAATTTTAACTAACTTTTTTTTTTTTTTTTTTAACCATTTTAGCTGCTTGTCTTTAGTTTGAAAAAAAAAAAAAAAAACTGCACAATTCAGTTTATTACAAAATGACAAAATATGCATTTTATGAACTTTTTTGTTTTTACCTTTTATTATGTTTAATTTAAAAAAACGTGCACAACACCAGTTTGTGCAAACTGTTTCGATCCAACCATCTGCTAAATGCCGTAATATAATCGAACGCTGCAGAGTTTGTACGTTTATTTTATTTTTATTTTTTGACAACACAAGTTTTTGTTCTCACCATCCCAATCCTGCCTTCGTTGCCAGAGGCTTCAGTCTCTGTTGTTTGGGGGCTGAGGGCTGAGTCACTGCTGCTTCTCACCAGAAGGGGCGTATCTGTAGAAACAGTAGGAATAAACAGGCCCATGTGAATTTACAGACGTGAAGGAGTTTCTGTCTTTTGTTACACTATTCCCACAAATATGGATGAATATTAAAACATATAGTCAGGTACAAATAATTACATTTGCTTTGTTTTCTATGGTTTTACATATCAAAACACAATAGAATAATGTAGTCTTTACCAGGTTCTAAAATTAGGCAAATAAACCTCCGTTATAAATAATTGAATGTGACTGTTTTGTTGAGGTTATTTTAAATGATTCACTATTCAACAGATTTTGTGTCTAATTTAATTGTTTTTAGACAAGCTAATGGCTCTTACACTAATCAACACTACACTGTGTTAAAAGTGTATTTTTTAACAAACACCAAGGGAGAATAATAGGTGCCCCGATACTGGTTTAGACCGAGTACAAGTATTTTAGTTTGAGTACTTGCAGATACTGGGTATCCATACAGAGTAGTTAAACAATCAATACACAATTACTTTAAAAACACTTTTTTTATTAAGAATACAGCAAACAGTTTGCTTTCTTAACATCACCTATGTCTGTCCTCTATTTCTAAACTATGTAAATATTTTACTTATTGTCCTTGGTTAATTCAAAACGGAAAAACTAAATGACATCACCAAGCATAAAACTGGTATTGGTTCAAAGTATCCAAGTGTTTTTATTAGTACAAGTGCGAGAACTTCAGGCAACTAGCATCAGTATCGGGATACCACTAGTTTAATGAATAAACTTTGTTCAGCTGCTGTGTCACTGCAAAATTTATGAAAAATGTAACCAAATAACGGCCAATAAATAAATAAATAAGTAAACAATTATCCTAGTATTGACTTAAACCTAAAAGCTGCTCATTTTAAAATGACATACTTTGATACATACGAAATTTGTAACTTAAACAAAAGTAAACTTTAGTATGAATTAAGAAAAAGAAAAGAAATTTAATATTTTGAAAATACAAAATGACGTACAAAAACTGTGTATACCATATTTAAACGACTCACAATGGCATAACTGCATTTCAAAGAAGACAAAATAAAAGAAAGAAAAGACGGATTGAGGTAACACAAACCTAAAATTGTCTATTCATGGCTGAAAAATATATTTTAATAATTTATAACAGACAGCTACATTTGCGTATGCATGTCCATATGTAATAATCACATACTAATCCCATTATGAACGCTCCCAATGCTGGTTTTGGAGAGGTGACAGTGTGCGGGATGTGTGAGAAGTTAATGTATTATCTCTTCCCTTCATATCCCATCTGTGAACACACTGGTGTTCATGCATCCAAATGGCCAATAAGTGGCTGATTTGTAGATTTGTGTGAGCGAGTAGATAACAGATGATAATGGCTCTTTCTTCACATCTCATCTGCCCTCTGCATAAAATCATCATTTACCAGAAACTGATAAATTGTGCACACCGCAGTGTTGCCTATGCCGCTGATGGGGCTTGAGGGAAAAGTGAAAATGAGAGGAAAGTCAACACTGCAAAAAAACTAAGCAAATAAATATGATTTAATATGCTGTGTTGTTATGATCTGTGTGAAACCTCAAACCTACCATCCCTACTCATAGGAGTGATCAATCTATATATACACATTAGGAACACTGCCAAGTAAGCACCTATAGCTCTAAGGGGAACATAATGGCAAAGGTGGTAGAGTGGGTAGAGAGAACTCTATATGGTTGAAGTACTCTGAAGACATGTCAAATGATATTTGTAGGGTCATATATTGATTGTCTCAAATGGACCCTTAGTGCTCTTAAAAACAGCTGGGGGGGTATGGATTACATCAAACCACTGATCAATTCATCTCCTTGAAGATAGACAATTAAAGTGGGATGGTTTGACGGAAAGTGCGCAAGGTAAAATGAGGGACAGTGGAAGATGATCTGAGAAAATGTATGTACCAACAGGTAAAAATACAAAATGAACAAAAGAAATGTATAGGGAAAACATATTTGTAAAGTAAACCAAAAGGAAAAAAGAAGTAAAAGCTGCTGTAACATGTTTCCGACTGTCCAAGGGCTTTTTCAACTAAAGCTAAACAGTGCCTCGTAGGTTCCTCTAGGCCAGTGATGCTGAATCCTGTTCTGCAAGGACCACTGCCATTTTGGTTCAAAATGCTGCAGCCTAATTTTTAACTGGTACAGGCAAAAGAGAGCACATTACTCCAGTTCTGGCCTCCCTTCACTGGCTCCCGGTTCACTTTCAACTTAATTTTAAAATCCTTCTGTATGTTTTTTAAATCTCTAAACAGTTCTGACCCCTCTTATCTCACTGATCTGCTGCAACCATATGTCCCACAGTGTTCTCCAAGGTCAGCACATCAGATGCTTTTATTGGTTCCAGACACTCGTTTCAAGCTCAGAGGTGACAGGGCTTTCTCTGTTGCAGGTCCAAGATTGTGGAATGAGTTACCACTGCGTGTCAGGTAGGCTCCCTCGCATACTGTTTTCAAGTCTTGTTTAAAAACTCACTTTTATTCCCTGGCTTTTGACACTGTATGAGCTTAGTTTAACCTGTCTGTGTTCTATAATGTTAGCCATTTAGTTTTTACCTTTACATCTGTGTGATCTATGTATTTATTGCCATGTCATTTGCTTGTTTGTTTTGGCTGTACAGCGCTTTGGTAGGACTTGTTGATGTGTTTTAAGTGCTTTATAAATAAAGGGGTATGGTATGGTATGGTATGGTATGGTATGGTATGGTATGGTATGGTATGGTATGGTAATGGTAATGGTATGGTATGGTAATGGGGCAGCACGGTGGTGCAACTGGTAGAGCTGCTGCCTCTCAGCGAGCAGGTCCTTGGTTCAAACCCCGGTCCAGGGGCCTTTCTGGGTGGAGTTTGCATGTTCTCTCCGTGCATGCGTGGGTTTTCTCTGGGTACTCCGGTTTCCTCCCACAGACCAAAAACATGCATGTTAGGCTAATTGGTAACTCTAAATTGTCCCTAGGTGTGAGTGAGAGAGTGAATGGTTGTTTGTCTCGTTTGTCTCTATGTGGCCCTGTGATGGACTTACGACCCGTCCAGGGTGTACCCCACCCCTCGCACAGTGATTGCTGGACATGGGCACCAGCGACCCCCGTGACCCAAAATGGAATAAGCGGGTAAAGATAATGGATGGATGGATGGATGGATGGTTGGTATGGTAATGGTAATGGTATGGTATGCTATGGTATGGTAATGGCATGGTATGGTATGGTATGGTATGGTATGGTATGGTATGCATGTTTTAGTTATTTCCCTGTTCTTCAGCATGTCTCCAAGTTCTGAAGAAGTCAGTTAATTATTAATTAATTCAAATGAGATGTACTGTATTCAAAGCAAAGAGCCGTACAAGTTTGAGAACAAAAAGTAGTGATAACTCTGTAAAAATAGGTACGATAGCTTTAACATGTGATTCATGTACATCCATTAACCAAGAATCATTTTACTTTACTCAGCATTTTTGCTTCATTTTGTTCATTTAGTTCCCAATAATCTTGGTTGAATGAAAACTTTTTTTTTTTTTGTCCTGCAGTGCAGAATAAAATATAAAGCAAAATGTTTTGTTAGTGGTTTTTTTTATGTTTATAGATGGATTATGGTTGCATTCATAACCATTTTATAACACTTCACATCACTTTACATTGAAATTATGTGATGCAGAAACACTATCACATATTTTAAATGCATCTCTATTGTAAAAATGCATCTCTATTGTAGAAAATAGGTAAGACATTATCAAAATAAAAATAAATAAATAAAATGCTGACTTGTGTGTGTAGTTGATACACCACGAATGGTAGATGTGGTTTCATGGTGAGCTGTGTTTCTGTTTAAATTATTACAATATTTCAACCTACTCCCGTTATGGAGTAGCGAAGAGAAAACAATATTAAGTTTTGAAGCGGCAACTCATCAAAACACATCCTCATCTGCAAAAAGGTGTGCGCAAAATAAACTTCAGCTTTCACCGTCTCCCTCACCAACCTTCCAGAGATGTCACTAATAGCTGATAGAAAAATCTCAGCAGTAAATCTGAAGCTGACTTATTGCAGACTTTTGTGTTTTCACATGCCACCCCTCCTGAACAACTGTGAAAATGTTCAGGACTGCAGTGCATGTGTGAAAACAAATTATGGCTCCATAATATTCAAATGGCTCAGCAAGCCGTGAGTGCGAGAGTGACTCAACATAAACAAAACCAGTGCACTGCATTTATTTAGGAGAGACGCTTTTTACTCAAAGCAATATAATTTCCAGCTTTTGCCCAAATGAACTTCACCATCTGAACTTGGAGATTTAGTGCAAAGTCAACAAAATATTTAGACCCTGCTGCCTTCTCTTGTCAGCAAAGGAGAAACTACAGGACCAGTAAATCTAAGGCAGTGCACTCGTTTTGTTTCTCGCTCATAATTTATTTGATTAAAAAATACCTATCAATATATTAAACCACTGTAACTGGGCTCGAGCTGTAAATTTCACCGAGGTAGCCATATTTGTGTAGTTTAAAGATGATTAGCAGAAGTGGCCATCTTGAACTGGTTTACCTCCAAAACCTATTCAGTAGATGCACAGACAATAAAATGATTTTGAGTTTCATTATGATCTGTCCACTGGTTCATGAGATATTTTGCTAACAGACAAGTAAGGTTGATTCCAGTTAATGCAATTGTTTAAGGCAAATGTGTTGTGCAATCTGTAGAGCTTGAAGTATGTGTTGGTGACTAAGATCAGCTACTACCATACAAAACGTTAACTCTATCTCCTAGTGTGGTTGCGATACATTCTCTGTTATTATTTTATATCGTGTGTGATTACTTGTGTATGTTCCTTTGCACTGAAACTCTGGCACAACAATTTCCTGTGGGATCAATAAAGGTTTATTTTATCTTATAATTGTCAGACTATCTTTATGAGCTTGTAGTTTTATTTATTTTTTTATCATCTTAAGCAGTTGCTGCAAATCTTCTAGGCCTATTCTCGTCATATCCACGATAGTCTTTGTGGTAAAACAATTTACAGAAACCTAACTCTAACCTCCTCACACTGACACTGTGATTGTCTCCAGAACTCTGTTACCTCTAATCTCCCATGACAATAACACATCGTTTCTAATCTGCTCTGGCAGGCAACCATACTGAAACAGACTAAACTTCCTGTCTTAACAGAGTCTGGACTGACACCAATGGTCCCTTCATGATTTAGAAAGGTTGTACTTTACAGTTTGAAATGTTGATTCTGCAATGTCCGGATGAAATAAAAACAATTATAAAGATGTGACTTATTTTTGTTTTATTGTAGTAGAGCTAAGGATTGAAATTTAATATAATCCAAAGGAACTCAAAAGTAGTCTTAAGAACTCTTCAAACTAAACAGACAAGTTTAATATCGCACTCAAGACATATTAATAATTTTCAATACCAATAGTGCATAACTTAATGCTCACCAGACCCTCAAACTTAATTTAAAAAATTCAACATAAGCAAGACTTTTCAAAATAAAACTTATGCACAAAAAAAATCATTAACTGTATCAACAAAAAAGGTTGAATCATGTCATCTGGACTTCGTTTTTTTTTGTTAAAAAGAAACGTTTCGCCCCTCATCCAAGAGGCTTCGTCAGTCTGAGGCCTAGCCATCTGGTATTACCCATCTGGGTAATACCAGATGGGTAATACCCATCTGGTAATACCCAGATATTTCAGGGGTATCTGAGGCAGGCTTGAAACACAAGAGTCAGGGTGGCTTCTGGGTAATACCAGATGGCTAGGCCTCAGACTGACGAAGCCTCTTGGATGAGGGGCGAAACGTTTCTTTTTAACAAAAAAAAACGAAGTCCAGATGACATGATTCAACCTTTTTTGTTGTTATATACCTGGATGACTGAGAAAACAAACTTTGCATTAACTGTATCGTTAACACAAAGACCAGTGCAGGTAATGTAAATGTTAAATTGCATTTAGTCAACAGGAAAACCCTTTTCACAAATACTTGCATTGTAATTCAAGTCAACAAGTGCTTGACTCGAAATATGACAAAAATGGAAAAAGGCATAAAAAATAAAAAAAATTTGAAAATATAACGCGGTGCAAAGACAGATGCAGTGAGAGAATAAAGGTCACGCAGAAAGGTTTTGTCCAGGTAACACTAAGCAGACACAAACATCAGTTTTTGGTCTTGCAGCCTGACAGAACACATGCACATCCTGTCTTCTTCTCCCTTTCTGACTCTTTCTCAGCCACATTTCAGTGACAGCGCTTAAAACATTCTGGCCTTTGCCATATTGCTTTTATTACTGTTCCACCCATCACATGCTGACCTTTGTCTGTGCTGGAATTCAAAGTTAACAGTCTGTCTCATGTGTAAAGGGGAAAAAAAAGTCACTAAAAACTACACTGCCTTGTAAAAATATTCACCCCTTTTAAAATGTTGTTAAATTCCAAGCAGAGATCGAACATGCTCAGATCATTTTGTGAAAGAAAAAAAAAGGAATTTAAAGTACAGATAAATGCACTATAAAACACCATAAATTTAGATATGGAGCAGCCATATAATTTTAGAAGTCAAACAATCCAGCCGAAGTCGCTTGTGTCATAACATCTCTGGCATTAAATAAATGTGAGTCTGCAACATCACGATCTAATAAGCACTGAGGACCAAGGAGTGCTTAAAACTATGCAGAGTATTCAATTTCCATTAAATGTGTTATTAGAGATCCTGAAAGAATATCAAAAGATAGCCAAGAAAAGGAAGGAGGGCTTTAATCAACAAGGGGCTGATAACACTGAAAAGTTTGCCTTTAGAACCACATACAGAAACTATACAAGCAGCTTCATGTAAAAGCAGGACAAAAATGCAATTGCTAAAAAAAAAAAAAAAAAAAAAAAAATAACCATTAAATGAAATACTTACTAGACTTGAGGGCTGAGGAATTGACTTCAATCTCTCCTCCTGTGATTGGCTGAAAAACAGAGAGCTCTGCTTGGTGAAGGTCAGGGCTGGGGCTAAGGCTGGTGTCAACAACACTCCTCTGCTGGGCTTCTTGTTCCTCGTACACTGCCATCAGCTAAAAAAACACACATAATATGGCTAATTATTGTACCATCCATCCAGCCATCTTCTATCTTTTAGAGAAACTAGACTTCTTCTATGGATTCTTGAAAAGAGTTCACCTCTTATTCAAAAAGGCTACAAGCCTTTAGACTGTGAAAGCAAGTATACAACATAAAACTGAAAATCAGAATCCTGGAAAGAATCGACCCTTCCATAGTTCGGCTTATATCACCAAGACACAATGGTTCAATGCCAACGATGCCACCTTTTAAATAACTTGGCACAAATAACGCCATAACATCACTAATACAATCCCCACAAAATGTGGCAATTAACCACAACGATGTATTTTCACTTTTCTACTGACTAGCAGTTGTGAAATTTATCAGCTGACTTTTTTGGAAATGCCTCTTTGATACAACTTCAAAAAATGTGTTTTTGATAAACAGATGGTTCATCCAGTCCCCTGCTAAGTTATTCTTTAAAGTGATTGCTGCTTTTCAAAAATGTACTGATAGATGTGTTATGAAAAGGGCAAAACAAACTCGTCATGCAAGTCAGAATTTAAGAGCAGCATGAATACAGTCACAACAAAAATGAACGAAAAAATAAAATGCTAAAAGGATGATAAAAATATTTTTTGTGTGTGTCATAAGGCACAATTAGGCAATTAGTTAACATGTCTTCATGGTTTTTAATTTAAAATGTATTTAATTACCAGTGGCAATAAAACTTTCCTTAATGAGAATGTTTCATTTAATTAAATAAAGATAAAAGTGCACAGAACTCGGGTGTTACCTTCTGGATGAGAACGCTATAGAGGACATCCAAGGAGCCCAGCATTACTGCAGCAGAGTGTGTTCCTAGTACAAAATACCAACGGACTCCATCCGTGTCCCTTATGCATGTGTGCAGCTCTTTACCATGTCATATAGAAGAATCCCTGTCTACTGAGAATTGCACTGAGCCTGCATTAAGCCTAGCATAGAACAGAGAGACTCAATAGTGTTCCAGGGGCCTCTATGCAAAACCTGAATAGATTTGTGTGTACAGTATACAGTATGTGTGTGCTTAAACATGCATTTGTACACTGTGCCTATAGTGATGAAGAGTAAAAAAAAGAGATTTTGCCAGCAAAGCCAGAGGTTTCCCACAACACTGGAAGCCACAAGTGTAAAACATAGTCTCCTCTCACACTCATATCATACTGTACATGACTGCAGCTGTCTATTCTCCAAACAACTAAACAAATGCATTTTTAGGGTTAGCTTAAAAAGATTATTTAAAACAATATTTAGTTGATTTTTGAGCAGGTTGATGTACACAAAACAAGTGCCTTTACTTTTTTTTTATTTTTCCAAAAATCCAATCGGACAGACTGATTATGTTGATATACACTGACTCACCTGACACTTTACTCAATTCAGTTCAATTCAAAAATACTTAGGTGTGCAAGGTAAGTATTAGGTACACCTGTTCAATTGCTTATTAACACAAATAACAAATTAGCCAATCACATGGCAGCAATGTATTATATTCCATCCATCCATCCATTATTTTTACCCGCTTCTTCCTTTCCGGGTCAAGGGGGTCACTGGTGCCCACTGCCCATATCAAGAAGTCACTATGCTAAAGTTATGGTACACCCTGGACAGGTTTCAAGTTCATCACAGGGCCACATAGAGACAAATGACCATTCGCACCTAGGGACAATTTAGTTTACTAATTTATCAATTAGCCTAACATGCATGTTTTTGGTCTGTGGGAGGAAACTGGAATGCCCAGAGAAATCTATGCATGCACAGAGAAAACATGCAAACTCCAGAAAAGTCCCAGGCCGGGATTTGATCTGGCGACCTTCTTGCTGAGAGGCAACAGCTCTACCAACTAAGCCACGGTAGAGTTGCACTCGGGTCTAGGGGTGCAACGAAAAATCGGCCCCGATTTCCTTAATTTTAGGAAATCGGACGATACTTGCACGAGAAAACGATTTTACCAATTTTTTTTGTTTGTTTGTTTTAACAATTGTATGAACTTCTTTATATTTCAGAGCACAACCTCATGGCCAGTTAAAACAAGTTAGTATTGTTTCTAGGATATTGTTCAAGGGTATGTTTTTCAACAAAGTAATATTGGAAAATGAAGGTGCATTGTCACCTTATAACACCTGACAGTGTCACTTATAAAACAAAATCGGTATCAGCCAAAATCGGAATCAGCAAGTCACACTTTTTTAGAAATCGGTGATTGGCCAGAAAACTGCAATCGGTGCACCCCTACTCGGTTCCAAATAATCCGACACGACATGGCCCCAGCCTGCAGCCATCATCTCCGAACCCCACCGGATCCGCCAAATTAACAGTTATTACAGGTCCGAATCCGGAAAAAAAACTGACATTTTTAATTAAGCTTTGACTGCTTATACCACCGGCTATTATTAACGGGTGGCGGAGATGCGCAGCTGAGTAAAGGGGCCAGAAGATCAGAGCTAAGGAGTCATCAAAGCGCATTAAATGCTTCCTTTACTTCTGCATGCATTCTGCTCTGACATGTCGGATATTCTGTGATCTCACATGTTTGGGTCATCGGTCGCGCGCGTCCACTGAGTGCAGCGGCTGAATGAACATCCATTTGGGCTGATGGATCCCCGGCAGTAATCCATCTGAAATTTAACTGACCTTTTTACCTCTTTCAACTGGCCAGTCAGCGTGCAGTGAAATGGCCGCGTGCGGCAGGTGTAGTATAGCAAGCCATGTTTGCATATATTGGATTGTCGGCTGCGCACGTCTCTTATGCAATAAAAAGCCCAACACCGACCTGGCCCACACTTTAAGCACATTATTACGGCCCGGCCTGGTCCGAATCTGGGGCGGGTGGGGCTGGGCTCCACGTTCGGGTTAGAAATGACAGCTCTAAGCCAAAGTGCCAGCCCATAATAGTATTATTTAGGCAAGTGGTTTGCTAAAGGTCAAACTGGGGACCAAAATGGTGAATAAAGATTTATGTGTCTCTGAACATGTTGCAATTTAACTGGAATACGGTAGAACAGGTGATTTGCATTGTGGATATGCTGACAAATTCGCATCACTTGCATGGTGTTCTCATGGTAATATGAACTAAAATCTTTGAGGAGCGTTTCCGACACCTCTTTGAATGTATGCAACAAAGACCTGATGAAGTTCAAAAGTCAAAATGAGTTCAACACAGAACTTGCAAGATGTATCTAAGAAAGTGGGCAGCAAGTGTATATACCACAAATGTACACTTTCTGTTCAGCATTGCCTCACCACACAGGGAGCAGAATAGTATCAAGTTACACAATATCGCACCTTTCTCGCCATGTTCTCATCCATATCTCACCAGCTATTCTCTCAGATTCTCACACATCCATGTTCTGTCACCCTCCCCACTTCCATCTGTCTAACACAGATTTCTCTCATTGTCCTGTTCCATCTCTCTTTTCATAACAAACCTTAGCTCTGACTTGTCTGAGCTTTCCCAATGTAAAGGTTGTTTATTTTTAATATCTAGGAGTCTTTTTTTTTGTCTTGTACGATTAAATCCCCCCTACTTGCTTTTCTATCTCATTACTTTCTCCATCTAAAGTGACTGAAGCAATAAGAATACTTTGTTTATTCTTGGAAAATTAAATTAAAAAACTGATTCAATTACAGTATGTAACAAAATTGTCATTAAATAAAAATGGGTAAACTTTTCTTTATATCGTCTTAGTGAAAACCTTGAACGGCTTTTATTTTTACAATTATCAACAAGCAAAGTGCAAAGATGGCCAGGAAAAAAAAACAAGAAATCCAGAGGAGGAAATGGGAAGATTATTTTTAAATACACATTTTATTTATGTCCCATTAAAGCAACTCATCGCAAAGTGAGAAATCAAACATAAAAAATGTATCCTTAACTACAGTATATCAAATGGTGCAGTATGAATAAATTTACTGCAATACTGACTTTGGAATTGGTACATTTAAACAAATACAGTACGCCTAATATTCTTTTAAGACCGTGTAAAAATATGTGGGTAAAATCAAGAGAATTGCAAGTCTTTTACAAAGCAGAGTTGATAAGAAAGGACAGACAAGCAGATAAAACAGAGGAGAACTTTGCTTCTTCTCTTTTCAGTATGACTCAAAGACCTGACAAACAAAGTGACAGTGCAGCTTGAGGATGCAAGGAAGAGTGAGGTGTGAAACAAAAAGGTAAGGCTGAACAAAGGGAAAGCAAAAAAGAGAATTGGGCAAAAAGACTGTAAAAGATAAATTGATAGATAAATGTAATAGCAATAATGAGGGAGAGTGACAGTGAAGTGGAAAAAAACCTTTGCTATGTCAGAGAGTAAGAGCAAAAAACAAGCCAAAATCTCAAGACTGGTGTATCCATTTTCAACAAACGAAGAGTAACACAATGCCATATCTCTTTCTCTTTGTGCATTCCACTTACATCTTAGAACACAGTTAAGTCGGCCGCAAGTTTCAGAGAATAAAATGTCAACACATGTACATAAGAGGAGCTATGGAATTTTATTTTTATTAATACATTTAAAATTATATTTAATGTGCTTGTAAAATAGTACCAGGTACAGTCAAGCTGTTTCTCCATTGTTAAGTACCATTCTAATAATTTTGTTTCTATTCAGTTCAACCCAAGAGTATGTGTGTCTCAACTGAGAGGGTGTCCCTCACTCATTGGGCGGGATCATTTGTAAAAGTGCGAGTGTAGCCAGGGACTGCGAGTTTCTCCGACACCCCCCGGTAAACTCACTTGTTCCTTGTTGCTCCGTCGAACTCACGCTGTATGTGCTTGTCGGACAAAATTGATCAAAAAGAATTGCATCTCATCATTTGACCAGGGAATATCCTGTGATTTGCAGCGCTTCATCTCAGAAACTTACATTGGTCCCTCACTTATCACAGGTTCCTGACACCCTCTGCGATAGGTGAAAATCTGCGAAGTAGGGACATGTATTTATTTTAGTATTTATATATATATTAAGGC